AACCCGATACAGGGGACGGAATGCCTCGGTCACATTCACAGTGTGATTTGTTTCAACTAGGTGTGAAACCACTGTACTAGTGAGTGACTTAATCGTTCGTTCGTGTTCAACCATGCGCGGTGGTGCTCACGGATTCGTTCGGACAAACGCTTGAACGTGCGGCCTATGTACGTGGTTCCACAGGAACAGGTAAATGAGTACACACAAAATGAGACGACAGAATCCGGCATTTTGTCCTTTCTATTTGAAAGGTGTTCTGTGGGACTGTTTAGACAATCAACTGTTTTCACGAATTTCGTCAGTTTGATTCATTCTCACAGTAAATCGCACTATAAAACTATGAGCGTAAGCCCGACCGCTCCCTCCCCGCGCTCCCTGCAGTTTTATAAACAATTTCACATCTCCCGTTGTGGGCACTCTGGGGTCTATTCTCTCTCTCTTGCTCTCTGTTTAGGGAATATGCCGAGTTGTCCGGTCGTCTCGGATGCACTTCCGCCGATACGGATCGCATCGCCCAATTAGACCGCCCAGGTGTGATTAATGCATCCGTATCAGACGACACGAATTCCGGATCAATTGCCATATTGAAATTACGCGACGCTGAGGAAGCTCACTCTGCTGAGCGGATTCACGAAGAAGCCTATCACACGCTTTCTCACAGCAGTCTACATTCACGGTATGTTGTCTCGAATTTTTCTCTCGCTCTGTGTCGAACACTATTGCATTGCGTAACATGTTCGTCTGAACTCTCATCTTGTGATGTAAAAAACAATATTTGCATGCATTTTTCCAAAAGTAATGTACTAATAAAATTTTACTTTATAGTGAAGAGAGTAGATACCATGAAATGAGGGACGATGCAGATGTATAACATTCGTGACAGTGGGTGTAGGGAAGGGCGATTAGTCGTTTGAATATTGTGAGGCCAAAGTATATATATTTCATAATAAGTAGTATGTGAATGACTGGACAAAATTTCCCTGGAAACAGACGATCGGTTTCGCGGTTCTTGCCGCCCGTCAGGCATACGTATCCGGTAATCTTTTGTTAGTTCATTCATATGTTTGTACCCAGGAAGTGTATTTTCGTCACCATAACCTTGTTTGCAACACCGGGTAACCATTGGATAGACAGCTCTTTCAGAGGTGGAATATTCCACCAAGACCGTCAGGTCACGTTTGTTGCGGTTAGTAGCGTCTAACCCACTTACAAAACATCGAGTCATAGCATTGATTCTTCATTGGACTGATTCAGAAAGAGCTGTCTATCCAATTGTTACCCATTGGATAGACGCCGTCTCGACCGTTGGGCTGAACATTGCAACT